TTCCTATAGGCCAGGCCTACTTTTTTTGTTAGGGTTTCGTATACAATTCCACACAACGACGAGCCGTAATACTATAATGATTCATATAACATGTCAATACAGCAAGTGCTTTACTAAAATTACAATCAGTAAATACTACCTCATTGTCCACTGTTGATGCGTTGGGTTTCTTGCGTTTGATTGTCTTCTTCTTGGTCTGAGAATCATCTGCATGAGGAGAAGGAGCTTTGTGTAGCACTGGTGGGTGGTGGTGAATTGTGAAATGCGAGTAGAATCTTGCGAAGATTACCCCAATCAGCTACAAGGAGTTCAACAACATACATGTCAACTACATCTTCTTTGCTAATGTTTTCACTTAGATCATCAGAATTTGGGTTCTGAAAATATGAATAGATTGCCCTGGAGAATACAGGAAAACCTGGTCCGCCATGACATACTGAAGCAGCCACATTTATTTCACTACCATTGATGGATAAGAGTTTCTTTCCCATTGTTAATAAATATATCTTAAGAGGCAGTCCATGTAAAAACCGACCACTCGAATTTGGTAAGATTACAGAGTTCCTTCATACTTTCTGTGTGGAAGAAGTCATTCATAAAATGAACAAAAAATGCTGACTTTGGAATTGTAGTCAGTTTTTAAAATTTTTTCGCAATTATTTTCAGACACGTTCGAAAAGATGTTAAAAAAAAAAAGGTTAATTACGCAAGTGATATTTTAGCTTTTTTATATCTCTCTTTCATCTCGCGCTTTTATTCTAACTTCTTGAAACTTATATTTATTATTTCCTGCCTAGGCATTAACCTAAACTAAAAATTATCATGATCACTTGAAGCAAACAAAATATTGTGATTTTTTAAAAACGTCTTGCAGACAGCGGATTAAATATTCATGTTAGTATGCCGGTGGTAAATTATTTTTTCTCAAAAGTGCAACGGTATCAGGTATCCAATCTATTGAAGCGAGTCATGAATATAGTCAAATTTCGCTAATTCGACTAATTATAAGCTATAATTTGTTCATGTATGTACTTAAATTTTTCGCATTAAAAACAACAAAACTGTTTTTTGGATAGAGAGTAAGTTATAAATATGCCCTTATCTTGGGCCCCCCAAGGGAACGAGTCTACTTACCAAAGGGATGCCAAAGAGACAATGATGGTGGATTTGACCAGAAAAAACGAGAAGCAAGTAGAGGCATTGGAAAAAGAGACAGGGGTAAATTTGAACCATTATCACAGACTGAACATTCAGAATTGTTGAGATCAAATGATCTCGTAAAAGTATTTATTTTTAACTGTAATGAACAACTGTTAATTATTATTAATATCCATAAGGTAATGTTTTGTAATCGTTTACGATTAAACATTTATCATAAACTATTTTGTAATCCTTTTTCATGCGTTTTGTCTCAATGCTCTTATCCTTTACATTTCGGGTTATCTTCAATGGTATGTCCACTGTGACTTTTCCAGTGGAATTACATTTTGCGAAAGAATGACATCAAAGTTTACCTTTTGTTGTGCCGAACAGTTCACGGTAACCCCCGTACTTTAGTTTCCACTTTACCGGTACTGATCTTGTAACAGTAGTTCTTTGGTCTGTCCGAAATAAAGGTAGTAATGTAACCCTCCTTCAGTTTGTTGGTTAACTGACTAAGGTACGGACCTAACAGGGGTTCTGGTTCACCAGGTTTGCTCACAAATATCACCGAATCCGTGTTGTAATACAGTACTTGCTCCTGAAGCTGGTCAAGCACTTTGTATAGTTTATGACTGGCATATGCTGTGGTAAAGGCGGCAATAACTACATTGCTTTTGGCATTGGGTTCCACGAAACTTTCATTGTACTCGTGGTGGAGTTCGTCCATTTCGTCGCTCACGATCCTTGAATTCAGGTCATTAACCTTGTCCGATGTTAAGTAATTGAAATATGTCTGGGGATCTTTGACCAATTCCATCTTGGTCATATTGGATCTCTGCCCTAAGGGAAAAATACAGTGTAAGTACCTATAAAAACCTGGTTACTGTGTGGCCCTTGTGCCTAGTAAATGAACTAATAAGTACATACCCCAAAACGAATTCAGCATCAATTTGGACAATGCACGCATACTGGGATTGTGCCGAATCTTTTCCTGATCCAACTGGATTCCCTCGACTTCCAGGTACTCGTCCACATACTGCTGCTTCTGTTCCCCGCTGGGTTCCTGTTTAATCCTCAGGAAGGTGTGTACATAGTCTTTAAACAGTTCATTGGAGGTTTTGGGAAAATGCCATACTTTGTGTGTTTGCAGGATACGATAAACCTTCTCCAGGGCTTTCTCCAATTTGGCGATGCAGCATGTTCCCTGAATAGCTCTTTCACACTTGGAATGGGTGGGGGATGGAAGGGGAATGGAAAATCTTTCTCAGCAGACAAGAACACTAACTAATCGGAATTTTCATACTGGAGAGCAGTCGTTACCAATGGGATGTTGGAACAAAGATCAGCTAAGTAAAACCATAACTGGTTCTACATCAAGCCCTACATATAGTGTTGGCATTGACATCTTTCGATCGGGTGAAAATGGCTGTTATAATATTGAAGCTATCGTCTCAAATAGATTTTATACAGTGAAGCGCCATTATAGTCATTATCATGCAAGATACAGGTCAGTGAACAAGAGTCGCAATTTGAATAACTTAATTCCAGCTCAGCAAACACCAATTCAATTTACAAACAAGCCTGGTTTAAAATTGCTTCAACTTGCTGTCCTAAATGCTAGATCAATAAAGAACAAAACACTACAAATCAAAGATTACATTGTGGATAATGATATAGATATTATGGCTCTCACAGAAACTTGGCTTAAAGGTCATGAGAATTGTGAATTTACAACGTGTGATATTTGTCCTTCAGGTTATGTATTTTCCCATGTTCCACAGTTAACTTGTCCTTTGATGATGGTTTTACAGTTAACTTGTTCTTTGATGAATTTTCATCTCTCCTGGAGTTACTGGTATCTTCTTCTGGTAAATTGCTCATAACCGGGGACTTTAATATCCATGTTAACGATACGTCTGATGCAACTGCTCTTAAGTTTCTGGACTTACTTGACTCGTTCAATCTTATACAGCACATTAGCATGCCAACACATAAAAATAGTAACACTTTGGATCTCATTATCACCAGATCAGATGAAGAGACTGTCTGCAATTTATCTGTCAATGATCCTGTCATTTCAGATCACTTTGTTTTACATTGTAACTTGAATTTGGCTAAACCTACTAAAATTAAGAAAATTGTAACATGCAGGAAAATTCGATCAATTAACACAGAAAAGCTGCGCAATGACATAATCAACTTGTCACTATACCTATCGCCTCAGCCTGTTCTTTCGGAACTTTGTGACCAATATGACAAGGTTTTATCTTCAATCCTTGATGATCATGCGCCACTATTGACTAAAACCGTCATCCGACCAGCAGCTCCTTAGTACAATGAGGATATTGCAGTGCAAAAATCGAAGAGGCGCAAGTTCGAACGATGCTGGCGTCGTTCTGGTCTCCAAGTTGATCTACAGGTTTACATCAATCAGTGTCTATTGGTCAAAGAATTAGTTAATACTGCAAAAGCGAATTATTATTCTTCCTTGATTGAGGAAGCGGGATCAGACAATAAGAAACTGTTTCACACTATTGATCGTCTCCTCCATAGGCGTCCTGAGAAATTCTATCCGTCATGTGAGTCGCTCAACGAACTGTCAACCCAATTTAACAACTTTTTCACCAACAAAATTGTCAAAATTAGGGAAGAATTAGCCAATGACGAACCTGCTCTGACTCATCTACCGGAATTTGATACTTCCCTCTCCCCCGAGTCAGAGCTGTTTACCTTCCCACCAACCACTGTGGATGAATTATCAAATTTAATATATCCCATCGCGTCCAAATCATGTGTCCTTGACCCATTACCAGCTAAATTACTTATTCCTCAAATAAATGATCTTCTACCAGTTATTTGTAAAATTGTCAATTTATCATTGGAATCAGGTAATATGCCATCTACTTTGAAAAAGGCTGTGTTAACTCCGACCTTAAAGAAACCTTCATTGGATTATCAGGAATTTGTTAATTTCAGACCAATATCGAATCTTAAGATGGTTTCTAAGGTGATTGAAAAAACCGTAGCCTCTCGTTTAATCAGTTACCTTGACGAAAACAACCTACATGAACCATTCCAATCTGCATATAAACGATACCATAGTTGTGAAACTGCTCTGATTAGAGTACATAATGATATCTTACGTGCTTTGGATAGTCACAACTGTGTTGTACTTCTACTCCTCGATCTCTCTTCTGCATTTGACACAGTAGACCATGAAATTTTGATTCACCGTTTAAGAACTAGATTTGGCATAAAAGGAAAA